TAGCCTTCTGTGTCTGTATCACCACAGTGACAATAAGACACATGCATTCGCCTCAGTTGCAAAAAGGCAAAGAGAAACGAGGCTCCCAGTCCTACCCGGCGCCGCTTGCGCGGGCGGCTGTTCGCTGGGGCCGCTGTGGGTTTTACTGTGAACGGAACTTGAGTCTCATCCGAAGTGTTACCTTCTGGTATGTGTTTCCACTTCTTGGAACTTCCTTGAACCTGAAAACTGAAGGCCTTTCGTTCAGTTAGTTTTGAGTTCCTACCTCACTGTTCACTAGCCAGTGTCCCTGGTTGATTGTACCTCTGTGTCCTGAGGGCCTGAGACAGCCGGCGTCTTCCGGCCAAGCCACGATGCCCCCTCGGTCGTCCCGGCCCCCTGGGTCCCCTGATCGTGGTGGGTTTCTGTGACGTGAACGCGCACCACGTGCAGGCGTCTTCTCTGCTTCTCCCTGGTGCGCACCCAGAGCAGCTGGGCACAGTCTTCTCTCAGATAAACACAAGCTGTAAGTTGTCCTTATTTATGAATAACACACAGTTTGAAATTGCTTTTACAACTGGATACAAATTTCATTTGATGAATTCAGATATTTCTGTTGGTTCCAGAGTTCCCCAGCACCAGGCTCATCTAGGCAGCCCCTCTGTGGCAAAACGAAACCATATTGATACCACTTGGATCCTTAGGTGACTTTTAAAAGCGTGTCTTTAAAGCTAGAGAGATACCCTCTCACCTTCTCACATCTCACACACCCACTCTGGACAGCGTGGGAGCTTCCCTGCCCTGCTCTGCAGCGTTCACCTGCCCGCAGAGCCACTTCAGAGAAAAACCCGCGGTGGGGGCATTGGGTCTCTATCTGTAGGTGTAAGACCTGACATCTGCTGGGTGCCTACTGAGTGCCCACTGAGTGCCCGCTGAGTGCCCAGCAGGATGCTGACTGCTTTACACGTGGTATTTTCATTCATCACCTACAAATACTGTGCACATTCGTGAGCATCATGGCCTCTGTGTACAGATGGCGCAGCTGAGAGTGGTCAAAGTTAAGGGTTTTGTGTGAAGTTGCTCAGAAGCAAGTTGTCGAGGTGGGATTCAGGTGGACTTCAGTGTCCCAGTTCTGGTCTGACCCACTTCACAGCAACACGCGGGCTTGTGGCTGGCCTAGGTCATAGCTGGCAGGTTACAGGGGACACAGGACTTCAGCCTGGGTCCCCTGACTTCATTAAGGGTAAATGAGTAGCATTTGCTTAAAAGCGCACTGACATAATTCACCCCCAAACCATCCTAGAATCTACTCTCAAAGGCTGAGACGTGACCGAGCAGAGGAAATATGTTACAAGACAAACTGGAAAGTGGTGGTGCCGCTAAACTCTGAAACAGCTTAGGTTCTAAAGTTTGACGCGAAGGGGTTTATTCCTACTTTACAAACAAAGGGGGTGGGGGTGGGGGCTCTGGATCTGGGGTGAGGTTCTGGGGATAACAGCCCCCCACCACGCACAGCAGAACAAGAAGGAATCTTACCACCTCTTTTCCTGTCACAGCGAGTTTGAAAGCAGGTTTTAGTTGAGACGCCGGTGCTGTGCGCAGTCCTCTGCGGTAGCTCAGCCTCCTTCCTCCCGTGGCCGAGCCCAGCCTCTCCATCCAGCTGTTTCACTCACCCCTTCAACCCCTCTAAACCCACTCCTCTGGGCTCATTCCCATGGCAGGGCACCGTGTCACCCCACACTCCGCCCCTTTCTTTTTCTCCGTCCCGACGCCCAAACTCGGGAAGCCCTAACCGCTGCCCTTCCCTCTCCTCGTCTCCCCGTCACCGTGGTCACCCCATTCCTTCTTCCCTCTGCCGCCCCTGACGCCCCCCCCCGCTTCCACTCTGTGCCCTGGCAGCCCCTTCTCTTCATGACAAGGTGATACTTTAAAGCTCATCAGGCATGTCACCTCCCTGCTCTGAGTTTTCTGACGTTGCCCGGCTCCAACTTGAATCCTCTATTACAAATCGCCCTAAACATCAAGGCACGGGTGGACCCGAAAGGAAGCTTTCTACATGGTCTCACTTGTATCATCTCACGTGTCGCAAACCGTTCTCACAGAAAAATGGGGCTTTGCGTTTTAATCATAATTTATGATCACTTAGAGCATCTCATGTGCAAGTCCTTTGACAATTATCTCATTAATCGTCACCCTGCATTAATCATGTTCTGGGTTTTTGAAATTCTGTGTTTACGATGCTTTGACATCTTGGCAGCCTGCTGACTCTGGAGAGACTGTCCCTCCCAGGGCTCGCTAATTTCTAGAGGTAGCAAACAACTTGCTTTCAGCCCCATCGCAAACCTCACCCCCTTCCTTCTTTCCCATTTCAGTCTGGTTTGTCCTTCTAGTCTATACACGGAGATGCTGGTCCCTAGCAACGCCTTGCAGATGAATGAAATCTGCCCCACAAAACTAGAGACTGGCATGAATTAACACCAAAATCAGACTTCTGCAGTTACTTTTCTGAGTCACTAGCCCATGTATTCACTCACAGATGTGAATTAGGAAGCAAACCTCCAGAAGAGAAACATGGGGGCCCCATTCTCAGGACTCCAGATACTTACAGTTGGGGGAGCCAGCCCTGCAAAAAAAAAATTATTCTCTCCTCACGGGCGGATTTGTTCCATAATGCCTCACTTCAGTCTGTGCCACCTCCTTTCTTGTCTCTCTGGTTCTTTTCCCACCTGGAATCTTGTGTCCTTTCATCTTCTTTCTTCCCCCATAGCTCTTCCCATCTTGAGGAGCCCTTCATGGGCTGATTTAACCTTTGGCAGCTGCCCACCTGCACCTCCTGAGAAGCACTGGGACCAGCAGGTGCATGAGTCGGCCGTGCTGTCTGTGCGCCCAGCATCCCAGTGGCATTTGCTGCGTGATTCATCGAGCAGCTTGACCCAACCCCACTGCTCCCACCCCCGCGGTACAGAGGCGAACTCTGTAATTGGCGAAAGTCATAAGCCGAGGCTCACCTTCGCAGCTTCGCACAGGTTAAAGCACCACACGGCCTCTCCTGGCCATCGACAGGAGACCAAAGCCTCTCCAGGTTTAGAGGGTCACGTACAACATGCACCCAGAAAACCCAGGGACGCGTGGGTCTTCTGGAAAGATGTGCGCCATTGCAGCTGGTGGGTGGCTCCAGAGTAAGCTGTTCGGCTGCTCTCTAAGGCCGGGCCCCTCCCCGCAGCATTGTCGCCCCTCCCAGCCTCGCAGCCCA